ATTTACTTTACTTATTTTATTCAACCTGACATGAAATGACAGCGTGAGTCCAAAAACTCATCAGGCCACTTTATTAGGTACACATTGCTCCCGCCCAGGAGCTTCCTAAACTCTGCATGCTTCAGATTCAATAATTCCGAGAATTGGGCTGTGTTGATGTGATGGCGTCCCACAGTCGATGTGTTTTGCCATACACATGACAAAACACACTGAGATTAAAAAAATTTGCCAGAAAACAACTATTTTACCGTCCACATGATCAGTTTTACTCTAAATTTTCATCATTTATGAATTCATGTTTTGATTGTTGGGAAGTCAAATATACATTTTAGAAACTTCTAAAATCTTCTGTGTCTTGTATTTAATACAGACCTTGAGAGGATTGCATGAACTCATTATGAAAGTGTAAAGACTCCAGGGATCATGTGACCAGGTGCATTTCTGGGATGACCCGGCAGGGACAATCAAAAGAAGCAGAGTGAGGGAAAAAACACAGTAAGAAAACACTGAGGCCATCCAGTGAGGGCATTAGGCTACATGTAAAAAAAAAAGAAGAAAAAGTCAGTTATTTATATCCTTTATTAATGCTGATAATTGAACACCTCACCACGAGGCTCAGATCCTCCGCTGTCCTGCGCTGAACAGCTGCTCCACCTTTTTAGCAGCTGAACTGATCAGCTGACAGGCCCCGTTTACACCAACACCAGTATACAGTCAGCTGTGAACAGAAATCTGATGTTTTCATCACAATTTTTATTGTTTGAGCCACACATCTGTCTCTGTTTCTTATTCTTCATTGGGCTGAGAATCAGCGCCACCTGCTGTTTGTCTTGTGAACCGAATCCAGATGTTTACAGAACAGAAAACAGAATTCTGGATTAATTTTTAATATTATTTTGAGGATTTTCTAGAAACGTATGTAAAGGTGTGTGACATTTGAACGAAAACATACTTAGACATGTTTCATGTAAAATGAAATCTATGTAAGCATCATGTGAGCGCTAAAAAAGTACAAATGCGCTCTGAAAAGATTACTTTGAATGAAAAATACAACTAAAGTTAAACATTTTACTATTTTTTGTTATCATTTATGATCTCCAATGCTTTTCCTTTTCCAGAGAACTGCATTTGTCATTATTAACAGTTTACATATAAATATGCTGCTGATTTAAAATGTAAATATCTATTTAAGTATTAATCAGGAACTTTTATTACTCTTCAAACCTTTTAATTATTTAAATTTGATTTCAAACCTCTTTTAAACATTTTAAACAAATCTGCAAATAAACAGATTTTTGGTCCCTGCCTTGCTCATCAGTACGTGCAGCAGGGATTTGAACCAGCAACCCTGCAGCAGAAGCTGCCCTCCTCCCTGTCCTCCGATCGCCCCTCCGCTGCCCTCCTGAAGAGGAATTATCTGCGTCTTTATGGATTTATGGGAGATTTATTGTTTTACACTGATGAGTATTTAGTTTAGTCGGCTGCAGTAAAAATCACATAAAAGCCACAATAATTCACACCAGCATTCATGTTTTCAAGTGTTTGATAGTTCTTATATCGATGCGTGTCATGTGAGGAGCTTCTGGTTAAACTGCTTCTGTATTTAGAACATGAATATTTGTTTTCTTTCTCTCTCATATATATATATATATATATATCTCGATATATACACACACACACACACACATATATTATATATATATATAATATATGTGTGTGTGTGTGTGTGTGTGTAATGTGTTATAACAACAGAAGGCAGACAAATCTCATTATCTAAATATAAACATTCCATAATCTGTGATACTTATTATCGGGGCCTTTTCATGCTAAGATGCTGACAGTGAATGATGAACATAAACATAAAGCAAAGGTCAGAACTTTTAATTTCTCGAAAAAAAGAGTAATAATAAAAAAATCTTATGAATTATTAGCATGTTGCACATTTTCAAACATTTCTGACGATGCTAATGTTTGTTGTAAAAGCAGCTACCTGTGCAATAAACACTGGTGTTTGTAATATTATAGCCAGTTTTATAAAATTAATTGAGGCAGTGTGTACTAATGAGTAAGATAAAAATATAGAACAGCAACAAACTACAATATTTTATATTTAATCGAATGTACCTAAAATAAGAAGAAACTGTGACCCTCAAAGTTTCTTCCTGTGTCTGTAATAGTTTTCCTTTCGTACGTTGGTATTGATCTCCCACGTATGATTTCACAGCTGTAAAACTACAGACTCATCTCAGGACGGACAGGTTGGTTAATGACCTCTCACAGAATGAGCACATCCAGACTCGAAGGTCATCTTTATTTCCTTTAAACAGGTCAAAGCCTCTGTGGTCAAAGAGCTTTTTTCTGAGCAAAGATGGAAACTTTAATAATGTAAAAACACAGCAAACAAACAAACTGAGGTTGGGGACGAGTTTAAACATCATCACGATCTCCACGAGCTTTATGTTCTTCTGAAGACAAAAACGAAATG